AAATTAATAAAATAGCAAAAATGGAAATAGTTGGGGGGGGGGCTGTTATTGTAATGAATTTATTATTCTTAAATGTAATTTTTAAAATTACATTCATTTTTTTTAATAATTATAATAATTTTTTAAAAATCACAAGAAATTATTGAACTTATAAATATGTTGCCTACCTTGAATGCAATGAAGGTTACTTTGGATAAAAACATCTGCCAAATGCATAAATGTAAATATTTAAAACAACTTATATTAGACAACTTGCCTCAACCTGACATTAACAAAAATCTTGTATAAAGAAAAAAGTTTAACCTAGTTAAAAAAAAATACCTTCATTGTTTATAGTTCACTCGTAGTTTTATTGTGTTCAGATGTTTACTATTACAAATATATAAATTGTAATTTTAGTTTAGGACATGGTTCCCAAAAATTAAACAGATTCAAGAAGGATTAAATGAACTGGACGTTTGAAACTAATATACAAAACCACTGCTTTAAAAAAAAAAAGAAAAGAAAAAAAAAGCTATTGGATTTTTAGTCTAAGGTTTTTACTATGATTCAAGGCTTGTGACAACTAGCCCCGGTTTCCCTGTAACAGCGTATTCTAACGGGTTACACTGTCTGCTGTCTCCCTCTGCTGGTCATTACTGTGCAAAATACAAAATTAGCTTTATTTTTCGAAAGCCCTGACCTCGTGGAAATTTCATGAGAAACGAGAAACGGATATAGTGTGAAAAGCAAAGAGCTTGATGAAAGTCTGATTCAGCTCTCATTTGTCAAGAGCTGTTGAGGTTTACAGCTTCGCTAAATCACCTGTTCTCCACACCACTGCTGTAGATACATTCATATTTCAATTTCACGAGAGGCCAGCTGAGTGTATGTAAAACACCAGTCCTCTTTTATCTATAGTCTAATCTCCAGTGCAGCACCCTTGAGGAAATTGTGGGTTGAAGGAAGCAGCGGACGATCCAAGCCGGAATAACGTCTTAAGTGCAGATTGATCCAGAACACTGTGGGACACCAAGTCTTTCCCAGAGAGCCCAGAAGAGCTGTGTGCTGGCAGAAGATTGTGCACTATAGATGAGGCAAATCCAGAATCAATTACTTCCATTTATGAAATATGATATATAGAATTTTATTCTGGATAAAGTGAGCACATTTGAAATAAAAACAAAAACAAAAGTAGATTAAATTAGATATAAATTGACTTAGCAGGGACCAAGGAAAAAGATTTTGGATTTTTTTCATTACGTGTGTTTAGAACATATAAAATGTGACAAAAATCTTTTAAAAAATGTATTTGTATTCATATTGTATTGTTTAGCCTATACTAAAAAGGTAAGCCGCTGGCAAAACGGTTTACTCATACCAAATTTTAAATTTTTTAACGTCCTCTGATATAAAATTTTCCTCTGATATTAACATTTTATTTATTTATATAATTTATTTTTTGTTTTGTGTTTTAAATATGTTTATAAAATTGTATTTTATCTGCTAAATGAATGCAAACTGAAATGCATATGAATTTAACTTTTAAAATGACGTTTTTCAGCATTTTGGCACATAAAACTTCTACCAAACATACATACATTAGCCAAACTTTTACTATAGTTTCCATAATAATGTTTACTATTATACAATAATAATAATAATTTACTTCTGCTATTATTATTTCACAATTTGTGTAAATATGGGCAAAAATGTATTCAAAAAATTTGTATTTATGTATTTTTTCCATAAAAATGTATAAGAAAAGACTTTCTTAGACCGTAAGAAAAATTAGATGCTAAAAGACTCTATTAGTTTGGGAAACACTGCCAAAACCTCAATCCACACGAAATCCTCTACCCTCGGAGAGAAATGCCTCCTCTTGAGCTACAAACCAAATGTCCGATCTCCTCCCAAAATGACAATGTATAAAACAAATATTCCTCTTTGCAAACTCAGATTTTTGCTAAAGCTGGGTTATAGTGAAAACAATAAAACTACACTAGCAGGCATTCAGACAATCGACAACTATAATTATGGCATAGATTTTAAGTGAAGGTTGACTTGTATTCTTTCTGAGGACAACACAAAGGAGTATTTTTTTGTCAGGAGCAAGTTGACATGTTTTAAATGTTACACATTTACTGGAATAAATGTAAAATCATTTTAAAATATCTTATGCCTAAACAATGTTTTGTTTTTTATGTATTTATTTTTTTTTTTTGCTGTTTAATGTATTGTTTTGTGTTTCAAAATCTTTTACGATTTAAATATAGCTAAAAAAAAATCTATGATATGCTGTTTAATAGCAGGTTCCTTTTATGACACAATACTGTAACGTGTTTTAAATTAACTGTGTTTTTTTTTTCTTTATTAACCTACTGTATATCCTCAAAAAATATTCAACTGAGTACAAAGTGTGACAACTAGCCTGATATAGGCTACTGTACCTACTCTTAATCTTACCAATAAAGTTTATGAACTCTAATGTAAGCAAATTTAGAAAAAAAAAGGAAAGTTGTTGAATACAGACCCCCAAAACATTATTTATTCTTAAATGTCGTCTTCTCATCAGAACAAAATAGGCTACTAAAATGGCTCAAATCCTATAAAAAGGATAACAGTAGCCGAGAGGCTGTCCTTCTGTCTGTTGCCACATGGTGGAGTCTTGTCTAAATCAGGAGAAATGACAAAATCAGGAGGCTAAAATTGCATATACATACTCTTTCCTAACAAACACATTAAAATGAAGCCTTTGCTGCTTTTAAGACTAACCACATGCGAGACTAAAAAGACGAAAGATTGATATGCGTCTTCAAGGATCCAAGGACCACAGAAGACACAGACAAACAAACTCTTTCCGCTTTTTTTTTTTTCGGTGTCCTGTTTGAGAGAAAACAAGTATTTTTTTTCTGTGTCAGCAGAAAGCATATAGCGCAGCTCTTAGTTAGAAAAGAAAAGACTTTCTTAGACCGTAAGAAAAATTAGATGCTAAAAGACTCTATTAGTTTGGGAAACACTGCCAAAACCTCAATCCACACGAAATCCTCTACCCTCGGAGAGAAATGCCTCCTCTTGAGCTACAAACCAAATGTCCGATCTCCTCCCAAAATGACAGTTAAACCCATCAAACGGTGCACCGTCGCTGCACTAGGCCTCACTTCCCCTCACAACGCTCACCCAAAGACCTCAAAAAGGTTTGAATCATCTCGTAATTAATATTCCTCAAGAAAGAACCCATGAGGAACCAATTATTCAATAAGACCCCCAGCCCCCATTGTTTAATGTGACATACAGGACGTATGTACGCCGCGGTTGACGTTTTTTTTTTTTGCTGTTTAATGTATTGTTTTGTGTTTCAAAATCTTTTACGATTTAAATATAGCTAAAAAAAAATCTATGATATGCTGTTTAATAGCAGGTTCCTTTTATGACACAATACTGTAACGTGTTTTAAATTAACTGTG